AAAACTGATATTAAAAGTCAAAATAAATCAATATGATCAATATGTTGCCATATGATAGTAGTATAAGGCGATCCATTACCCAATTTCATCCCGTACGTAAGAGATGAATACAGGATAGTCAGAAAGATCTCAAGCCTTCAAGAAGTAGTGGTAAACATAGAAATAGAAATAGAAAATGTATTTATTTAACCAAAAAACATTACATAATTAAGCAATACACTGGATTCTGCACTAAGCTCTAGGCTTGTATCGCAGGAACCAAGAACATTGACTGACACCGTTTACACCGATAAATACATAGAACTCCGATTAAATTAAAATGAAGCGAAAAATAAATCTTTTTTTTTTTTTTTTGAACGAGTGTGTGTGCGTGCGTGTGGGTGTGTGGTGTGTGTGTCTGTGTGAGTGTGTATGTGTGTGGGGGGGGATCGTGCTTGCGCGTGTGTGTGAGTGAGTGTAAGTCTACGCGTGTGCATGTATAGGGTCAACTATGAAAGGAAAGTAAGTTTTCCGTTTCCTGATAAGAAGCATGTAGCAGCCAGGTTGTTATTTTGTGTTTGACTTTACTTGTGGACAAAGACCTCAAATCTGGGAAGAGACAGCAGAATTTGTTGTAAATGGTAGGCAGAAGAAATGGTGAGTGGCGTTTGATAAAGCTACTGTGTGAATTGGGAATCGGCACTCGAAAGATCCGACGTTGGCACAGGCTAAGATAATTCGGGGAATTTATTATTTTTCTGTGGGTTAGTATTACTGCCTTTAAAATGTAGATTTGGCGAACCCGTAGTACCTTACATTCCTTGTACAGTTCGTCAGTAGGAAATCTAAAGTTTTTAGACAGCATTACTTTTAGTACTGCTCGCTGGGCCCTCTCGACTTCAAGCATTTTTGATTTGATAGCTCCACCCCAAGCCAGCGTGCAGTAGTATAGTAGGGATTGGGTTAGTGCTTTGTAAACAATTTTCATTGTTTCTTTAGTAGCACAACGTCGTAAAGCTTTCATTATGTAAATGGTTTTTCTAACACTACCCGACAAGCGGCTTAGATGGTTTTTAAATGATAGCTTATCATCAATGATCACTCCTAGATACCTGATGTTATCTGTGTTGCTGATTGTATTACATCCGCAAGAGGGTACTTCAGATACGCAAGTGTGAATTACTAAGTTTACCAGCGAAAATGGTTTTGATGCGAGAGTTTTGTGAAAGGCTATGAACTTAGTTTTTTTATAGTTTAGAGTTAGTAAATTGGAACTTAACCATTTATTCAACACTACCATGCCTTTTTGAGCCGTCTCGAGTACGCTGTCCCAACTTAAATCATTAAATATAATGGCTGTATCATCCGCATAGCATATGACGTCTGCTCTTTGTATGGGTAATTCTAGGATGTCATTAATGTAAATGCAGAATAGGATTGGACCAAGAATACTTCCTTGAGGAACTCCAATACTGATTTTTAATTGCTTACTTGTATGTGAGCCCACTCTTATGCATTGACGCCGATTTAAGAGATAGCTACGAAACCAAGCCAACGCCACTCCTCTAATTCCTTTTGTTTCAAGCTTCCGCAGCAGAATAGGGACCGAGACGGTGTCGAAGGCCCTAGCAAGATCTAGGAAGATACCTAAACAGCTGCGTTTATTGTCCAAATGTCTAGACACAGCATCTGTCAGTAGTACTACCGCATCCTCCGTGGACTTACCCCTCCTGAAGCCAAATTGATTTACAGAGAGCAGATTATTATTTTCTATAAAGTTGGTGAGACGTTTGCTTACCATTTTTTCCAATAACTTGGAAAATATACTTAGCAAAGATATGGGCCTGTAATTACTAGGACAGTTTTTATCCCCATCTTTGTGTATTGGAGTAACAACTGCTAATTTCCAACAATTAGGAAAAACGCCACATAACAAGCTAAGATTAAATATGTGGGTAAGTGGATGCAGAACTATGTGTTTTATCTGTTTAATCAACCTTGGGGTGCAGCTGTCTATACCCGGTGCAGTATCGTTTTTTAGCTGGTCAATAAGCATACCAACTTCATAAGGATCCGTTGGCTGCAGAAAGAGGGAGTCCTTGCAAAGCACTCTTGGTTTGTATTCTGCAGCTAACAGGTCTTCTTGGGTGTTTAATCTTCTGAGCGTGTCATCAGCCAGTTCTCTGCCAACTCTAGTGAAGTACTCGTTACAAGCGTTTAAAGAAGAATCAGGGTCTTTGTCTACGGACAACAATTCAGTAGCCTCGGTAGTGTTACGTGTGAGATTACATATATTTTTGAGCGATTTCCACACCTTTTTTTGGGTTATCTTTATTTTGCTGAATTTGATTATTCTCGTATTCGGTCTTTAATTTTCGGTCTTTAATTTTCGTAACAATGTGGTACTTTCAATTCATTGATAAATTTAATTTGCCACTGGTTTCGAAAATACTTTGTCCGAAAATATTTTTTTTTTTTGGAACAAAAACAATTTACAATCACGTATTATGTTACATAGTTAACTACTTATACAGATCATATTAGAAATAGTTTGATAGCGACCACATCATTCACAGGAACTATTATCATTCATAAATTCTTTAATATTATAATAACACTTTTTATACAACATTTGTTTACTAGTTTTTGAACTCAGCAGTTTTACAAAGGAGATGAACGAAATTGGGTGCTTGACATGCGTTCCGAACAGTTATACCAAAATACGACAGGGCACACTGAAATGATCGGGAATAGAATATTTTGGATTGAGTTACAATAAAACCTTTTCTAGAATTTGAACACTGGCCTCTTAGAATCTTAATAATATTCAAACAATTTAAAAAAAATGTTTTAAAACAAAAACTATGTTGGTTTAAAGTTGACACGTCGTTAACAGAAATGGAGCTAACGCGTGAACATTTCCGTGCCAAAATTTATCACAAATTTTGTCGCGGCTTATCTCAAGATAAATGTCTCAGCGAACGTGTTTCGATTTATGATGTTGAAGCACCAAGTCAAACAACAATATACCGCTGGTATGCCGGGTTCTGACGCGGTTGTGTGTCGCTGAGCACTGTTTTTTCTGCAGGTCGACCAAGAACAGCGGTCACGCCTGAAAACATCGCAGCTGTGCGAACTATTATATCAGATAACCGTCATGTGACATCATGACAGTATCGAAATGACTGCAATTCAGTCGATATTACATAATAAGCTGTGTGTAAGAAAGCTAGTTTCCCGCTGGGTTCCCCACAATTTGTCCGAAGAGCAATAGGCGGCTCGTGTAGATTGGGATGGCGGAGAGAAGTCAAATGCCGTTTATAATATCGTCTCAGGTGACGAATCATGGATTTATTCATATGAACCTGAAAGAAAACATCAGTCAGCAGTTTGGGTCTTTGAAGACGAGGTCAAACCAACGAAAGTTGTTCTCTCCCGCAGTGTGTCAAATTCTTCACAATCTACTGATGCGTCACCGTGCGAAGTTTTTGGGTGATTTTGACGACAACTTAAATAATGAACAGTCGATGACAACAGCCACTCAAGTTCATAAGATGCCTAAGCGATCAAAATAACTTGAGGCTTATGTCTACATCGAAGAAATTGTTTCTTCGTTTTCTCTACCAGTTTACGTGCGCAGACACGTAATACACAAAATTGCATTACTTTCATCAAAATCCATTTCAATTCCTTATGAAGCTTCGCGTCTGGAGTAATTCCAATAAAATGATGCTATCAGCAACGTTCAACTCTTTCCCTTCCATATCATAAAAAAATCATAATATAAGCCATCATAAAATAACAAGCACGGGTAGGGTAAAACAACTCCACGTACAACTGAAGAGTCTCATACCAACTTTAGACTGTTACGAGATAACAAATAAGATGAAGGAAAGGACGAAAAACTAAATGATCAATAACTGTATTAAAATATAATAAGTACCTGGTAAGTCACCTGGTAAATTTAGGACAGTGTTCCACTGACCCATAAATTTACCTAGGAACTTATAAATCTTGTCAGCTATTTTATATATTTCTAAAAATCTCTTTAGCCATGAAAGTGTAACAGAGTCATAGTCCTTTTTATAATCCACGCAAGCAGCGGACATATTTTTGTGATTACGAAAGACTTGTCGGCAAATAACTGTTACAATGAGAAAAATTTCTTTAAAATCACGTGACTCTTTCAGACATCCGTTCTGTACATTGTATTTTTCAAATGCTTATATATATTTTTATTTAAAATTGTAGTTATTTATTTGCATACAGTTGAAAGGAATGTTATTGGTAGATAGTTTTTAGGTTCTGCGGTGTTTCCATTTTTATATATTATACCAATTGTAAGAAAACTCGCGAGCTCACAGCATTCAATGGCTTCTTGAATATGTGCATCCAAACGCGCGTGGCTACTTGTTATCCATTGTAATGGAATTAACCAAAAGTTGTGTATGCCATCTGGTCCAAGGTATTTCCAATTGTGCAATCTACCCGTAATTGAGTATGTGTCTTTAGCAGTAATTGAGATGGACCCTATGCTAGCCAGAATAGAATACGCACGTTCGGTTGCACAAATCCGTTCACATTCATCATGAGAAACTTCACTAGGCCACATATTTTTCCAAAAACTTAGACATTCATTTAAGTTTGGGCACTCATCATTCTATGAGTCGTAGTTAACTTTTATTTAGCTGCAACATACTGACATTTATCCCCGCAAACACCATCCTGACGGTGCGCACAATTCTTGGCCAGTTATTGCCTGACTTGAAGCATATCAATCTGCCAAAGAGGCCCCTACAGGCCTTTGCGCTACATTCCTTCAATTTTTAATCTCCAGTCTAGGATGGCGCTACTTTGTGTAGCACGTCCAGGGGTTGGGTGCTTGACGGCAATAATATGGGATACTGGCAGTGCGAGTTCGTCTCGCTAAGGTCTCGGCTGGCTTCCAAATAGATCATCAGCATTGGTTTTAGAGCCCTCACAACACCCCAATTCCGCTTGCTTAGGGTTATGCGGCGAAGTCACGGTTGAATTTTGAGAGGCGTACTGTGGGTTCCCATAATCGCCTCCTCCAATGTTCTGGGCGATTGTTCCATCATCGTCTGAATAAAACACAACTGGGGATTCCCGGTGGCATCAACGTGTGCAGGCTGCTCTGTTACTTGTGGCGCCGCATCCTCAGCCGTAATGTTTTCATCTGATGAGGGAACAGTCTCACATCGTAATCGTTCGAGTTCGGCGCCATGAAATATGTTTGAGCGTACGATATACCGAACTCGGTCTGCCATATTTTGCTCGGTGACGGTTATAGATGGCTCCAGCTCAGCAAAAAGTCGATGTATCTTAGCCCTGTACGCAAAATCTCCACTTTCTCCCACTTTCACTCTAAAATACGCCCGCAATGCGTTGCTATTCATCTGCATTGTCCATCGTAAGTGGCATACTTCATCAGTGCTGGGTGCCGATTGCTGGGCCCACCACTGGTGAAGTATGCCGCTTACCAGACACTGCCGACATCAAGCCAGCTGGTGGGGATGATGGATACGAGGGGCTGCTGGGTGGTCTCGCAGCACCTCGCGCTCGGCTGGTGGTTCGCATGCTGTCGCATCCAGTGCCAGCTCCAGATGCGTCCTGGTGACCTCCAGCGACCCCTTGCGCGTTCTTCTGTGTTCCAACATTCATTTATTGGGCGTTAGTAAACGGGAGACTCCCAGACCCGGCACCGTTTCATGGTGAGGCCATGTGCATAAATGCGTGAGGCATTTGCACCTTCAATTTTGCCGAGGCACGGCACTTACACCTCTTGCCAAAGTGCTGACTGACTGCGCTGCTGACGACGTAGCAGTTTTGTCACGTAACCATTACGTCAGCGGGCGATGGGATCTTCACTTCCCTACTCCATTTTAGTTATTATTATTATTTTGGGGTATCTATATAGTTTTCTCATCTGGTTGGGTGCTATAAATATATAATTATAAATGAAAATGAAAAGACAAATATACATAAATATCAATAACATAAAATAAATATAAAAGTACATAAATAAATAAAAGCCCAACCAGATGGAGGCCCTCGGCAGGGGAGACCAAACGGCCGAGGGTTAGGGGGAAAGGGAAAGAAACCGGCGGACGATGCGGGCGGTATCGAGGAGCACCGCCTTCTGCATTTGAACCTGGAGCGGTCCGCCACGTAGTCCCAGCCGCCTCAGATGACCCGAGAGGCTGACTGGGATTAGCCCGTTTGCAGAGACGACTACAGGAATAATTTCGGTCGGCAGACCACCCCACATGTCGGTCACCTCGTGAGCCAGGTCCAGATATTTTGTTTGCTTGTCTGTTTCGGCTTTCACGAGGTTCTCGTCATACGGAATGGTAATGTCGACCAAAAATATCCTTGACTGTGCCCGGTCCATCAGCACAATATCAGGCTTATTCGCAAGAATAGTCCTGTCTGTGATGATGGCCCGGTCCCAATAGAGCCTGGCGCGATCATTTTCGAGCACGGCTTCCGGCAAGTACTTGTAATACGGCAATTTCCGATCCACGAGACCGTATTTCAGAGCGAGCTCCTGGTGTAGAATTCTGGCTACTAGGTTGTGCCTGTGCAAGTACTCAGAGTTAGAAAGCGCCGAACAACCGGAGATAACATGCCTAAGTGACTCACCGGGATGGCGACAAGCTCGACAGATGTCGACGGTACCATCCTTTAGGATGTATCTCCGATAGTTGTTGGTCTTAATAACCTGATCCTGTATTGCACAGACAAAACCCTCGGTTTCCCCGAAGAGATCACCAAAGCGTAGCCAGTGGAGGGAGGCTACTGTGTCTACGAAAGGCTCATGTAGAGCCTTGTAGAACCTCCCGTGGAGCTCCTTCTCCTTCCATACGGTCTCCCGGTCGGAAATGCTCTGCACTGCCGGGTCTTGCCATTGCTCGTTGGCTAAGGATAGAGGGGTAAGTCCTTTATCACAAGAAATGACGTCCTTATAGAATGGATCATCCGATCTCGCCAGGAAGTAATCACGGAGGCTGCACACTTCGCGATTATGCATGGTGAGCGCGCTCAAGAAGCCACGACCACCATGCTTCCGCGGCAAGTACAGCCTCATTGCCGACGATCTCGGATGATGCATCCTATGGGACGTCATTGTAGTGCGGACTTTTCTATCCAGGGCGTTAAGTTCAGTCTGAGTCCACCTGAGTATGCCAAAGGTATACATGAGGACAGGCATGACCCAGCCGTTATATGCGTGTGCCTTATTCACACCGGACAAAAGGCTGTTAAGCACTTTGGTCAAGCGTGCATAAAACACGTCGCAAACTGACTGTTTCATACCAGTCTCATCGATACCGATGTTTTGTGACATACCCAGGTATCGGTATGTTTCAGCCTCGGAAAGGGTCCTTAAGTTGACGGGTATAGATAAGTCTACGCCCTCAGAGTTAGCAACCCTTCCCCTTTCAACATGGAGGACCGCACACTTATCCGTCCCCAGCTCCATTCCCAATGGAATTGCTAAATTCACAAGTGATGTTTAGCAATTCCATAAGATGGGAGCGACTGGAGGCGAATAACTTGAGGTCATCCATATAGAAAAGGTGGGTCACTTTTGTCCCTCCTTTCCGTAGCTGAAATCCCCTCCCGGAGCCCTCCAGTAAGGTACTGAGAGGGTTCAGAGAGAGGCAGAACCAGATTGGACTCAGACAATCGCCCTGGAAGATACCCCTTCTTATCCTTATGTGGTTCTCCGCAGCCATCATCCGCTCGCCTAGATGACAAAGGATCGTACTCCACTGCCCCATAATATTATTATTATTATTAATAATCTTTATTAAAAAATGAAAATAAATATTTATTCGGTGTGTTCACACCCTGATAGTATTTTACTTGAGAGGCTAAATGATTTATTGGTATTTTATGATATGAACGCAATCAATATTAACCTGTGCAATCTATCGGCGCACTGCTACGCTTACGAATAGGCAATGCCTGGTTTTTGTGACAGGCGTTGCAAACACTCCAACAATTTCTTACAAGAACTTATACGGCGACAATATTATGGATCAGTTATTAATTACGTTTTTTCTCAGGCTTAGGTTTAACTGATTATACGTATTTGTTTTGTACGGATTTGAAACCAAACACTACCCGACGATATAATTTTTTATTAATATTGCTTGCTCTGGTTAACGAAAAAAAAACGTCGGAGCACTGGGTACATTTCAGATTATGCTGCAACCATATATTTATGCTTCCTTATATATTTCTTCTTCCTTTCATCTTAAATCCGTAAAATTTCAATTCTGGACCTAGAAAAATGTTATTGGTTGCAAATGATTTAGATACATATAATATGACATTAGTGTGTTCTTAAAAGTTAAGCTTGGTTTTGGCTTGGTTTGCAATAACCAGGCAAATTTGTAGAGAAGGTTCAGTCTAAGTAATATAGGCAAATTGTGAAGATAAATTAATTAAAGAATCTCAAACATTTTGTCCCTCACAAAAGCAACACCCACTACAACAACAATAACCACATATTTCTTTCAAAAAATTCTAAGAAATTCTTTCTGACCTAGGACCCTCTCTTCTACAAAACAAAGATAGGTTCAATGTCAGTCGCATTACCTCTTGACGTTCGACTACTGTATCTCATTTGCAGACATCGACAACCTGCCGATCGAGGAGTGCTGATCTGCATGGCGGTACCGCTGAAGTGCGTGCTACCGGAGTACGGACACATCGCCGCCTGCACCGCCTGCTCCAAGCAGCTGGCCGAGTGCCCCATCTATTTTATTTTTATCTTTTAAATTTAAAATTCGTGGTTAATGCATTATTTTAACTGATTTTACTGCGCACTTTTGATCACACGGTTGATCGATAGGCAAAAAGGTTGTTGCCCATAAATCACATTCAATTTGGGTAGTTTCGAATAAAAGTAGAAGCCTTATTTACTCGTTCTTTTAAAAACTGCAATAGCGGCATATATTTATTTATATATTTGAACTTAAGTTTAGAATTTGGCTACGCTTATAAAAATAATTGTTCTTAGCAAACATCAGACTAAACTGTAAAAATATTATATATATATATATATATATATATATATATATATATATATATATATATATATATATATATATATATATATATATATATATTTTGTAATATTATATGAAAATATGAGATATTGAAAAAAAAGCTGTCCATTACTCTCCACATGCCTCCAATACTGAAACGATTTTGGGGCAGAAGACAATGCACCGTGATTTCCCAATATTAGCCCAATATATCCTTGAAATACTTTAGTAATTTTTTTTATAAACAATTTACTTAACGGCATAAAGACTACTTTCTCGTTTGTTGCTCCTAATAAAAGTAGTAATGTAATTTTTACTCTTCATATACATTTAGCAACGATACAGTATAACGGTGCTACCTATTATTTGAAAGTTCTTGCAGTGACATTATTATCCTTCTTCTTCTATGTGATAAAGACTTAAGTAGCCCATAATAAGTAGTACGTTAAAGCGATGCTGCAGCTATATTATAATTGTAGCATAAATGGGTTAGTTCGCCCGGGAAGTATGTCTCAAAGAATACCAGCGTAAAGCAGCAGTTTTATGCTGCTGTGTTTGGTCTGATGTGTGTATAAACGGAGATTATTTTTATTGGAAACGAGACATTATATCTTACTCCTCAGAGGTAACAACGCATTAAAATTTTGATCCTAAATCGAGGATAGATGTAAATGTCTATGGATCACAACATTCCTCCTACCATCGGGTGGGCTATGGGCCAGATTGTCATTATTATATATAAAAATATTAACAAAAGCTTATGGAGCATAACCTTTTGTGCCTAGGAGTATGTCTGGATAGGTATCATCTTTTACCTCATTTTTTACTAAATGGGGGTGCGTGAATTGATGTGTTCTAGTCTAAAGGACCCATAGTTTTTAGTGAATACCTCAACATAAATTATTATATGATATAATTATTTAATTCTTCTTTTATTTTCGTAATCTGACAATCAAAATCTCCAACTCTTTGTTCTCGATATTCCATGTATTCGAACCAAACGGTTTTTTCGTCTTTCGTAATCAATGCGTACGGGAAGGTAGTGTGAGTAATTTGCTTGCATCTGTCTTTCCATCCGATAACAACATGTGTGACTTCAAAGCAAGAATGAATTTTGGGATTTGTTATGAATTACCATCTAGGACGTTGGATTACCATCAGGGAGCATTTTAAGCAAGCTAGCTTATAATAAGTAAAAACAAATCGCTGATGCTTAAACCATAAGCCAAGGTCCACAAACGAAATTACATTTAAAAACTGTGCAATATTTCTCCAACCTAACTTCCTACACTACAAACAACGAATTTAATTAAAAGGCAACTGCTTTCGGAATATAATTGGCAGAG